TTTGTGGATACTTTCTTATCATTATACCTTTCTGAATCATCATGGGCTTTTTTAGTGATCACATATTACTTATTAATTTATACTCACAAAATAAATCATTACCATTAAAAAGATTGTCACATTGGGACAGTTTGTTAAGAATATAGAAGGAAATTAAGACACTAGTTTCTTTTTAAAATAGTTTAAAAGTGTTACATGTGGTCTTTTGAAACATAATTCTATGTAAGTTTTCTCAGGAAATTATTATAAATTAAGTACCTAGCAAAGTGGTCTTTCTAATTAAGTCTCAACTACAGAGCAACCAACAGCTTACCTGTTTGTTTTGCAGAGCTCTTTGGAAAAGTCGGAGAAATGCAGCCAAACTAAAACGGTACATGTTATTAATTTTGGAAAGGTCAGAGATAATGAAGTACATCTTGCTGGCACTCTCAGCCAGAGGGAGATAGGCATCCCGCTCCTGTGGATCATGGAGTGGGGGGTGGGGGGGAGACACCTTAGTATTCATTTTTTATTGCCACCAACAGACCACTATGCACATATCTAGGACATCCTTACTTTTCTGCATACATACACGAAATGAAGATGACAAATTATAGAATTTTATAATTAAAAGGAATACCATAATCTAGTTTTTCTTCTTCATTTTTATAAAACTAAGGAGAATATATGTCTTAGTCTGTTCAGGCTGCTATAACAAAATACACTAAACTGGTTCTGCTTATAAACAACAGAGATTTATTTTCCCAATTCTGGAGGCTGGGAAGTCCAAGATTAAGGCACCGGCAGATATGGTGTCTGATGAGAGCCCATTTCCCAGTTCATAGAAACAGCTGCTTCTTGCCTCTTGCTTCTCTCCACATGGGGGAAGGGGCAAACAAGCTATCTTGGCCATCTTTTTTTTTTTTCGGCGACTGGCCGGTATGGGGTCTAAACCCTTGACTTTGATGTTATAACAATGAACTCTAACCAACTGAGCTAACTGTCCAGCCCTGCTCTTTTATAAGGGTACTTAATCCTACTCATGAGGTCTCCATCTCATGACCTAATCACCTCCCAAAGGCCCACCTCTTAGTATTAGGGGAAAGAGGGTAAGATGGAATAGTAAAGAGTTGCAATCAGAGAATAACATGATGCAATATTACATTTCAAAAGAGAATCAGTTTAGGTAATGCAAGAGTGCATGGCACTACTAGCTTATCCCTGAAGTAAAGTTCAAACTATGTGACTACTGTATAGCACTGGTGCCAACAAGGACATGATGCAACTAGAGGTAGAAAGATGACTACAACAGGTGTGCACATTAGGATAGCACTGTTTGATGTGAGCATAGAAAGAGCCAATAACTACAGGAGCTTTCATTTTGACTGAGAAGGTAAAGGATGATAGAAAAAGGAGGACCATAGGATTAAATGGCCTTAAGGTTCTAAATGAGACTCTGAGAAGTTTCTCCACATCACTATGATCAAAGCATTGGAATTGCACATATGATATGGGTAAAATTATGTAGGTGACTTAGCAATGTCTGTTAAAAAAGAGAAAGCACAGAAAGCTCAAAATCCTTTTGGCAGAAAATGATAATTACAACATCTGCAAAATTAGCCTGGTAGGGTAGGTGGGGTAACTGAATTGAAATCAGGCTATAAATTTGCTCTTATTCTAGTTTTAACAGAGATCCTTCCCACGTAAAGAAAGTAGTAACAGATACATGCAAATTTGAGCAAGGGCTGAAAAGTACTGAAAAAAAAATTTGGAAAAGTCATTGAAGGGAATGGAAAAGTCATTGAAGGATGTCAGTGAGGTTTCACATCATGCTGGAGCTGGGGAAACCATTGTAACATCAATTTGCCTGGTTGTCTGATTTTCTCCAGCAAAGCTCAATCATAAGAATTAGGAGAGGAAAAGATATATTGTACTAATATAGGGCTGGAATTTTGATAAAGAAAACATCAAAAGAATAAAGTAAAAAGGATTTAAAGCCATTTGTAAGAAAATAGTTCAGATTATCACTCTCATGGGGTTCAGAATGAATAGTAAAGAAAAATGTTTTTAATGGAAAAATAACTTATAACCCTTTTAATTAGAGTATTTAACTTTCCTTAAATTAAGTATGAAGAATGGCAAATATGTTCTCTAACACTCATTTTCAATATATTCATTTTCAATTTCAGTATAAAACTATAGCTCTATGTTAGATAGTATTATGCCAGAAATCAGTAGAACCCAACAGGGCACACTGACCAGCAGTCCTTATCCTCGATATGCCCAACATCTTAAGTCCCTCACTCTAATAATAAGAATCAGACCCAAGGCTCTGGTGCTTTTGAATGGGTTTCTTTCCATGACATCATCTTTCCCCTGAAAACCTGATTTTACACTTTCTACCATATCAATATAAATGTCGAAGAAAACATGACATAAAATCACGAAGAAGAAAATAATTACGTGATCAAGGGAAATTTGGAGTTTGTAAGATTCTTCAAGTGACTCTTGAATGAGTGCACTGCTTGATTTTGTCTGATTCAAAGATTCAATCAGATCTTTATTTTCCAAAATATTGCCTTGAGATGTGGCAAGTGTCTGTAGAAAAAATTAACAAAATAATATGAAAATTATTATACATATTAAAATAACCAATTAAAGGATGTCCATATTAGTTGAATGAGTGCACTGCTTGCTTTTGTCTGATTCAAAGATTCAATCAGATCTTTATTTTCCAAAATATTGCCTTGAGATGTGGCAAGTGTCTGTAGAAAAAATTAAACAAAATAATATGAAAATTATTATACATATTAAAATAACCAATTAAAGGATGTCCATATTAACTATCATTAATTTGATGGTATTTAAGGGAACGTACATTATTTTGGAAGAATTTCAAAACTTTATAGACTTCTTATATCAAATGATATAGTAAATTGTTATATAATACCATATTATTCTCAAAGCATTGCATACGTATTAATTTTACCAATCTAATAAAAATAAGAACTACTTAAAGATTAAATCATGATATGCTAACTTTTAATGCATCTTGAAATTCTCAGCATATAATAATTAAATAATGAAACAATGCAGTATAAAGAAATTACTTAAAAATTACTTGTCTTAAACAATACTACATAAGATCTTGTATTCTAAAAGATATCTCCTTTTTTTATGTTTATATTTTGACTTTAAGATATATATTAATATGCCTTTGAAAAAACCGAAAACATTCTGAAGGTAATACTAACTTTAAAAAGAAAGTTATTTATATTCATTAAAGAAAAAAAGGTAACACGAAAAAATATCCTGAATAGCTAAATTTTACCTCTAAAAGAGATTCCTCAAGCTTGGCTAGCTGTATTTTCTTATCTTCTTCCTCTTGTAATAGTTTTGTTTTCTGTTCCTCTAAGTCAGGCTTCTCATGCTGAATGGTTAAAGCCAAAAGCTTAAAAAATAAAAAAA